CCTAGGTACATATGTTATATCGATCCAAACACACGTATATCGATGTCGTTTCAACAAATATGGATATCATTCAGAAAATATTCGTGTTGTAAACAATATCTATGTGAGCACAGACATATTTATAAAGAAAAGGAAATGTGGTATGAATTCCAATTAGACAACTATCCACAAGAGTTCAAATGACGAAGATAAAAGTAGATATGGGTCACCGTACGGCATTCAACAATGAGAAAACCCTTTACCTTATAGGCAGCTCTAACAGACCCCAACATGAAAAAACTGAAACAATTAAAACGAGAAAACTAACGACCTACCTTATACAATACAAAGTAGGAAAAAAACAAATATGACGGACATGAACCAACTACAACCACTGAATTACAGGCTCTTGACTTGGGACAGGCATATGAAGATTGTGGCGAGGTTAAACATGTGTGTAAGCCCTCAACCCTCCCCCTAACTTTGTACGGTGGTGTTACGGCACAAAACAAGAACAAACTGTAAAAATCCGTTACGAATGGCTTTACTCAATAGATCGGTACGAAGCACAGACAAACCAACTAACAAAAAAACAGTAGATACAAAGTAATGATATAAAAGTACTCGCGGTTATTGAAAGCCAGTTCAAAGCCTGTTAAAACTAATGAATGAACTCCAGACTAAAGTATCAAGCAGTACAATGTTGGGTTGAGACGTATGTACATTGTGTGTTAAGTGGGTATGTGTATGTTTTCTTTAACAGATAATACATCCTAGATGTTTCATTTACTATATGTCTTGATGATAATTTGTTTATCTTTCTATGAATGGAAAACAAGAACAATTTTCAAATGCTACTACTGTGATAAGGAGTATGATCAAGCGTCTGTTATACTTGGTCACACAGCAATAAAACACCATAACTTCCTTTCCATCAGTAAGCAGTGCTTTAAAAAATGAAAAGTACGGATCTCTAGAGATCTAGGCATTACAATTACCAATGTATATCTACGGAACTCTGCGAAAGAAATGAATTAAATACAGAAGGTACTTGGCTGGTCCCAATCCTCTCTTAGAAGAATATTTGTGGTATATTACATTTTATTGAATTTATAAATTCGGTCCCTTTGTTTTCTTAACCCTATTTTTAAAACTCCAGGTTTCGCCACTGTAATATACATAAATCATAAACTATTATTTACTGTAAAAAATATTTGTAGCATGAAATGTTATTGAAAAGATTACGAGTCCCCTGTTCTCGGTTCTAAAGACAGGTTGACAAAGAATCCAGTAATTTCTAATATATCTTAATACTGCAAGGTTATTGTAAAATTATTTCAGTACTGAAAATTATCATTAAATAGAAAAGGGTTAAATTTGATCAATATAGTGATATGTTTTGTTATTTATTAAGAATATATAATATTGCCCTTCGGTGAATTACAGTTACAAACTAGAAAAAGTTATTATTTAAGCCCAAGAATGCCTTCTTTCTTATTCACATTTTCTTTGAAAAACCCGGACCATTTGTTTAAAAACCCGACGTTTAAATGTTGCTCTCGAAAAAACACGGACAATGTAAAACACTGTTGTAATTGTAAGTGAACTACACAGGAAATTGTGCGTCGTTTGTGCTCAAAACATGTTTAGTATTCAGAATAAGATGAACCATCATGAATAAAACTATTATGTACGCGAAATAGTAGTAAATTGATCTGATCGCATGTAATATCACTCGAAAAAACCTGATCTACACTCGAAAAAAGTGGACCGATTCACTCGAAAAAACACGATCTCCGCCAGACACTATACCTACCGTGTTTTGAAACAAATTCACCATCACCTAATACTGATTTGTTATTTTGTAAAAACTTTTCTTCAGGCTCACGCAACAACAGAATTTTATAACCACCTATGATAACATATAAATGAAGTCTGAAACATCAATTTATTTCAAAATTAATAGATTTTTCAAACGACCTTTAACATAAATATCATAATTATAATTTTCATTCTCATAAAATGTTTGAAAAATATCAAAATCTTGTCCCTTAAAAATATCACTGTTCTGTTCTTTAAGAAGATCATCTGGTACCTCCTGTCCTGGTTTTTCCTTTTCTGCAATTTCTTGCCCAGTGCCCATGCAGTTGTAGAATAGTCTAAACTTTCGGTGTTGTTTTGGTCTGTCTGTGTTTTCTTTGATGTTTTTTTTCTTTGTATCGATCTGATGAGTTAAGCCTTTTTCAACTGATTTTAATAGTTTGTTCTTATGTTGTGCTGTTACACAACTGTCCCAGGTAGGAAAGGGGGTGGGGGTTGAGCGCTCACAAACATGTTTATCCCCGCCACATTCTTTATGTGCCTGTCACAGATCAGAAGCATGTAGTTTAGTGGTTGTCGTTGGTTCATGTCTGTCATATTTTTTTTCGTAAATTGTTTTGTTATAAATTAGGCCGTTAGTTTTCTCAATTGAATTGTTTCATATTTTTCATGTCGGGGCCTTTTATAGTCGCCTATACGGTATGGGTTTTTCTTATTGTTGAAGGCCGTACGGTTGTCTATAATTGCTTACATCCACTTCATTTGAACTTTGGTGGATAGTTGTTTCATTGGCAATCATACCACATCTCCTTTTTTTATATTGGTAACTTGAACTTGAACATTCACAGCCACCCTCGGATTTATCTGCAATCCTAATCAATTCATTTCTATTCTTGAGCTGATCTGACGAATCTTCTAGTACCCGGGCGATTCTTCCATATGTTGTTACTTGCAGTAATAATGTTATCTTGTACCTGAGATCACCTCCACCCTTTTTGGTGGGGTTCATGTTGCCCAGTCTTTAGTTTTCTATTTTGTTTAACGTACTATTGTTTTTTCTTTTCGTCGTTTTTCGTTTGTTTGCCATGGCATTGTCGGTTTGTTTTCAACTTTTGAGTTTGAATATCCCTTTGGTATCTTTCGCCTCTCCTTTGTACATCTGAATTAAGTTCAAATTGTACCTGATTCCCCTTATATTTAAAGGTGTTCTCTGTTTTCTTAGCTCATTTTACTAATGTTTCTGTAGTTTCAGAAAAAAATCTTCACTATGTCCTTCTCTCTGTCAGAAATATTGTTATTAAAGTAAGTTGTCATAAGTGAAAACAAGTCTGCGTTGGAAACCTCTGGTATGTGGTCTTGTTCTGAATGACATTTTCTTTTTGTCGGTTCTGTAGCGGAACGTAAAGCCGAAATTGACTTGTCGCGAGTCTTGGTAAATCTTGTTCATCATCGAGGTCTAACTCTGAATCGAACATCTTAATAATTAGTCTACAAGTCGAGTGGTCACTGCCCAACCTTCGATAACATTCAAACCTTTTTTTTTTTTGTAAATCTATCAAATATCGTACTGATGTGATTAACAGGTTCACTCATTTGTTAAACAAGAGACGATATTAAGTAACGAAATTCCTACGCATACCGCACACACATTTATGTATCCAATGTCAATCTTGTATAAGAGAGAGGCGACAAAAACCAAAGGGACATTTGAAATTAAACTTCTTATCATGAATGAACAGTTTACAAACAAAGGTTTCTCATGTGTGCTATATACAGTTTTATCTATTGGGCTGTTCAAAGAAAATGGCAAAGTTGAAAAATTCGAAAAATGAGAGAAAAAAATAGTGGCCGTATTATCTTCGGAAGTACTCTGGCATTTACAATGAATGTGTAAATTCATATCATCCATCCATATTGTTATGAACTGGTTGTAAAAGATTGCAATAAAATGCAAAATTATCCCATATATATGAAATGTATTTTCTATGAAACTGATGACTTTGTCAAGTATGCTTGTCTTCCAAATGAACAACCTTTTCTATCTCTGTAAATTATTACCTACACAGGACCCGTTTTTAAGTCATATTTTGCATCAATTAGATAAGTCACAGTTCTTCAAATCACTCCTACATGTATACATTTAACCGACAAAATTGTATACAATAATCAATTGATTTAAGAGAATGAAGGCGTTGTACCTATATGCTGTCAGTATGTTGTTAATAGCATAATTTACATGGTCCTAAAGCGAAAATCTCTCAGAAGCGTTTCTTTTTTTATTATTATTATATCAGGCAGAGTTGACCTTGGATGAATTTGGCTCTTCTTTTTCGATCACTTAGTCATATAGCTTCTGCTGTTTTTACGTTTTTATATATCCCCGCTTTCAAATGTTTAGCGGGCCTCGGTGGCCGAGTGGTCTAAGTAGTCACTACTGTAATCACTAGCCAGTCAACACTGAGGTTGTGAGTTCGAACCCCGCTCGTGCGGGTGCACTCGACTCCAATCTTAATTGACTAGGATTGTCAGCTTTCCTATCGAAGGTCGGTGGTTTTTTCCGGGCACTCCGGTTTCCTCCACCAATAAAAACTGGCCGCCACGAAATAGCCCAAAAGCGGTGCTTAAAAGTAGCGTTAAAACACCAAAAATCAAAAAATCAAATCAAATGTTTAGTGTTTGAGCGTTCCTTGATGAAAACAAATCCAGAAAAGAGCTTAGACAGTCAGAATATATAATGTGTTATTTTTATTATTTGAAGTTTTCTATAGAAGGAATTAACATGAATACGAACAACTTTTAAACTGTGCTCATTATGTATGCTTCTCATTATTTCCAGTTATGGAATGCTTATTAACATGGCATTTTTCCTGATAATTTAACTCATTCAAAGAATATTTTTTTGTCTAAAATATTAATTATGGAGTCTTATTATTTACTTTCGATGACGTATACGTATGTGAAACTATTTTGTATTCTGGTTTCAGCATCCCCCTCGGAGGTAAGTGTGATGAATATGACCGAAAAAGATACAATTATCGGGAAGGAAAATGAAAATCTTACATTGGCATGTTATACCTTAGGAGGCATTCCACGTGGTAAAACAATTTGGTATCATGAAAAGAAGAAGCTAACGATGAATAAAGATGACAGCGAATGGGCTTATTATTCGTTAACACTGACTAGAAAACACAATGAACAAATATATACATGCCTAGCAGAACACGACATGTTAAGAACTCCATTAAACAAATCCATAAAACTGGATATCCTATGTAAGTATAATGCCCTTATATTAGTCTTAAAGCGAACAATAATAACCGGTAAACAGTTAAGCCATAAACAAACTATAAAAAAATCAAGAACAAAAGTCACACAAAGTAAGTAGCCTTGGAAACATGATTGCCAATAAGAAAAAAATCTACTAAGAACCAAATGATAAAGATGGGAACAGTCACTGGTCACCATACAACATCTCACAATAAGTCTAACCAAAACCGAATAAAAAGCTTTAGTAGACCATATGATGACAAATAAGGAAAAATTTCAAAAGAGATATACATTTCCATACAAGTTAAACAATTTAATTTTAAAAAGTTATAGCAATGACAGTGTTGCAAAATTCACGTACACAAGGCCTAGGTTCGGCGCTTTACATTTGACAAAGGTTCGATATCGAACCAGCTTTGATAAACGGGAAACACAGATCCGACCTATATTGATTGTACTTGTTGATGAGCTTATCCGTTGGTTTTCCTGTTTGAATTGTTTTTCACTAGTCATTTTGGGACCCTTTATAGCTTGCTGTTCGCAGTGAGCCAAGGCTCCGTGTTGAAGGCCGTACTTTGACCTATAATTGTTTAGTTTTACACGTTGTGACTTGGATGGAGAGTTGTCTCATTGGCACTCATACCACATCTTCTTATTTCTATTATCTGGATTTCTATAAAAAATATGTTTACACACTAAAATGCCCAAAGATAGTTTAATTGTAACTATTTTTATGATACACACCTCAGCATCTTTATGATAACAGTACAGTGATTAGATCTGAGTTTGTTCAAATGAACAGGGTTTACGGTTACCTTGTGCTTGCTAGCAGAACAAAAAAATCCGTGTTGCATTTTCAGTGGAAGGAGCAAAGTATCAACCATCCGCTGATTATTTACATGTGTGTTTCTGCAAACTGTACATTGTGGGTAAAATGATTGTGATTAATATCCAACTATGCCACTGACTTATCCTAGCTAACGGAATTATATGAAATACGAATATCTTTTAATTTTTTCCCTACGTTTATAGAGTTGTTATCATTATCTCTTGTATCCTGTTCAAATATCATAACTTGTTTTACCCTGATTGTCTATATGCCCGTCTTCACTCTGTCGATCAAAACTGAGTAATTGTGTTTGTTTGAAATCTCCTACAGTTCATCTACCATAAAAAAATTATTAGATGCAGTATGATTGCCATTGAGACAAAAATCAACCAGAGTTCAAAAGACGTGGATATAAGCAGTTATAGTTCACCGTGCAGTCTTCAATAATGAGAAACACCCATTCCGTATAGTCAGCTATATTAGGTCGCGACATGTGAAATGTGAAACGATTCAAACCAGAAAACTAACTTATTTATAACAATACAATACAATTTACGAAAAACTGATATGGACAGTCACATGTGGAAGGTTGCGGGGTTCGATATGATTAAACATGCATAAAACAAAAAATTTAACCAATTCACATCAGTGCGTGGTTTTGGGTTAACCTGTTATCTATGAAATAAAGAAGAAAAGAATATTGGAATAAGATAACACTCAACATAATTACTTTATACCTAGTAATTTTTAAACATTTATTCGGCGGGGAGATGAATTTTCTATGAACAGTCCCAGTTAAGTAATATTTCGGGGGAAATTTAGGAAATTGAAAAATAGATACACACTAATAACCAAGAAAAACAATCAAAGTAAACTGGGACAGCTAGCAAATGGCCCGGATGGTCATTTTTATGTCTTTTTTTGCAAATAGAGGTGGAAGATACCAAGGAGACCTTCAAAACTGAAGAATGCAAATAAACACAATGCAACGTTTTGCACATCACAAATAATGTAAAAACAAATTGGGTCTTAGACTGAATTTTCTTTGCTAAAATATACAATGCGACCTGTACTTTTTTTACTGATATTGTGTACAGTAAATAAACGGATAGGGCTCGTAGAAAACAAATTTGTTTTGTTATGAGATAGTGCATATCGTATCCGTCAACCAACTTGTGAAAGTGACCGTAAAACTTACACCGTGTCGATTTCAGCCTTCTTACTTACAGAAACTGTGCATTATAGACAATTTCACTTATATCATACTTCAAATTATCATCATGACTTACAAATCTTTCTAGATTATCCTCGTGTTCAATTTGTGTGGCCAAAGGGACCCGTTTCAGTAGGACACAACGTGAATTTGTCCTGCTCATATTATAGCAACCCGTTAGAAGCTGAAATATCATGGACAAAAAATGGTCAAAATATCGATTATAGCCATTCCAATGTCACAAACATTGTGGTGAAAAGTGAAAGAAACTTGACAGAAATAGATCTAATAACAGAAGATGCTCAAGGTGTAACTTTTTTTATGTTTCTAAATGTGACAAAAACGGATGAAGGAGCATACACGTGTAATGTAACTAATACTGAGGGATCGGCAAGTGAAACTGTATATTTAGTTGTACAAGGTAACCGTTATTATATATTTCGTTGGATAACTGCTCATCAGTTCTTTTTTTTTACAAATTTATTTATAAAATAAAACTTTACATAAGTACACATTTACTGTTAACGATAGTGGAAATTGAACCTTAGGACTCAAAAAGAGAGACGGAAGATACTTAAGGGAAATACAAACTCAAAAGTCGAAGACAAACTGACAATGCTATGACAAAAACAAAACAACAACAAAAAAACATGAAAACGATCAAAAGACAATATCACAGATTATTTAACCAAAAACGATATAATAATTGATTTTATAGGATGTAGAAAAAATATGATTAACACATTTCATCGTTCAAAAAGAGATATAGATTGATAAAATAATTACATTGTTCTATATCTGTTATCAAATGTTCTGAATTTTTCTATGATCAATGATAAAGTTAATACATATTTTACATTTGTAATGCTTTGGTAAATGCATTTTGCTTTTGACTTCTCATATTTTGTACCATCACAGATAACGACAGTGAAACCGTTTCCCATTCCATCCCACCGTATTCAGGAACTTCTGTCAAAGGTATATTTTGTACTTTAAAACTAGCCTAGATTTCAAACACATTATAGTCTAAAAACTATAGATACTACCATATTGCTTTCGTTTTTTTTTTCATTGGATTTTGGTTTGAGCGTTCTTAAATAATGTAAATAAAGAAAAGCAGTTTGGACGCACGAAATTTTATAAGTGCTGTTGTCTTTTTACCAATGTTAAGAAGTTGACCTCTACATAGTGCATAACAGTTTTGTTTCATTGTAATTTTTATTTATTTCTTAGTAAGAGTTCTTTATCAATAATTTTGGTTTTATGCTAAAATAATATACACAATTTTGTAACATTATAACCAAGATATTTTAATGTTTTATATTTAAATCATTACATTATGGTTGCAAGATTGTTGAACTAACCAATTGTTCTTTTATAGGATTTTCAATGAAAGAACAAATGATCTATGGTGTCATCGTTGTGATAGTTGAAGTAGTTTTGATTATAATTTCCCTTGTTGGTCATGCTTATATCAGGTTTAGATGCATACAAACTAATTACCCAGTGGCCCAGACAGATGTGAGGCAAATATCATTTGAAATTGAAATGCGAGATATAACATCTACTGAAGATGATGTAAACGAAGAATTGAGAAACCAACAGTTGTCGACAAACCATCAGAATGCATCTGTCGATGACAGACAAAGTGATTGGAGCACAACAAATAGTCGGTCATCTTCTTTGCATTCTAACATATCTCAAAATATGAATGAGGATGATTATTTACATCCGTATCATAGTTTTGTACAGAGTAGAATGGATGTGCATGAATACGTTATTGTCGATAGGAAAGTAAATGCGGAATATGAAGAAATCGCTAACGTTCATGTATCTAAAGACCAAATTAGAGATTATGAAAATACAAAACTATAAATCGCTTCGGACGCACAAAATTTATATAGTGTTACTTTCATTTACAATAGTGAAAAAATAGAAGGATACTTATCTGTTTGGATATAATAATGAAGTGGTATCACTTACTTATTGTTAAATGTAATATAAAAATCATGACATTATCTTACATACTTGTGAATGTCTTTGAATCATACTTTTTGCGGTCTTAGTACGTAGTAAAAGGGGAGGACCCTTAAAAGATATTGTATTGAAAAAATCTAAATGGCGTGAAAATTAAGTTAAAGGGTGATATGAGTGTTAAAAAGTCAAACTCTGTCACTTCCTCTGTTAAAAAGGAATTTTTTAACAGAGGAAGTGTTGCGCATTGTCAAATATCATCTATTTATTTTTTTTTTATTTCTGGAAAATTTGAAAATTTAATTATTTTGGGAATATTGGAGAATATTTTTTTTCTTTCTTACCAATAAATTTCCAAATTTTTTTTTTTTTTTGTTATTCATAAGAAATAAGAATAATATTAAACCAAGAGTTCCAAATGGTGAAGTTGAAATCATCCCTTCGTAAATTTTACGGACGCCATCACGAGCTGGTTGACCGTTATGGAATATCCGTTTCACAGATGATAGCGGATATGTTCCTTATGTCGTAACTACAATCCCTTTCCCTTTTCACGAATGTGACCTACCGAATTAGACTATTTATCGGGTTTGTACTAACATGAGCAACACGACGGGTGCCACATGTGGAGCACGATCTGCTTACCCTTCCGGAGCACCTGATCTTATTAGGTAGCATGCAATGAAATTAAAAGATTATGAGTCCCTGTACTCGGTTTATAAGACCGTTTTAAAAAGGATCCATTGATTTCTAATATATCGTAATACTGCAAGGTTATGGTAAAATGTTTTCAGACCAGAAAGTTATCATTAAATTGAAAATGGTTAAATTTTTTCAACATACATGTAGTAATCTGTTTTTGTGACTTATTAAGAATATATAACATTGTCCTTCGCTAAATTACAGTTATAAACTAGAAAAAGTCAGTTTTTAAGCCAAAAAATGTCTTCTTTCTTATTCACATTTTCATCGAAAAACCCGGACCATTTGTCGAAAAACCCGGACGTTTTAAATATTGCTCTCGAAAAAACACGGAAAATAATAAAACACTATATTGTAAGTGAACTACAAGGAAATTCTGCGTCGTTTGTGTTCAAAACATGTATAGCATTCAGAATAAGATGAACCGTCACGAATACAACTATTCTACTCGCGAAATAGAAGTAAATCGATCTGATCGCATGTTAAATCACTCGAAAAAATCTGATCTACACTCGAAAAAAATGGACTGATTCACTCGAAAAAACACGATCTCCGCCGGACACTATACCTACCGTGAACCTGGTAACCGCAATAAAGAAATAAACGATGTTTTTCTTCGATAATTAGAGATTAGTTTAAAGAAATTGCTAACACTTTAATCCACAAAATATTGATACAAAACTATATGGTGCGCATTAACATACAAACAACTGACCATGTGCTCAAGAAATATGCAAAAGGTAAATAACAAAAATGCCGAACTCCAATGAAAATTTAATACGAAAAGTCTCTTATCAAATGGCAAAATCAAAAGCTCAAACACATCAAACGAATGGAAAACAAATGTCATATTCCTCACTTGGTACAAAATTCGTCGTGCGGCGACGAGTATCAATCTAAATCTTCAAAAACATTGTTTTAATACAATGGTGACACATTATAACTTTACATTTTAGGATTGTAAATTTTGGTTTAAGGATGCACAGTTTCTTTTTTCTCGCTAGTATATATAGATCCAAAACATTCATAAATTTATGATTTGAAATACTGTAGATATGTATTATTACAAGGCAATGCGGAAGCATATACATTTGCCGTTGGCGATCCTCATTGGGACTAAAAGTCCGATAGCAATGATATAAAATGTGTTCGAACCCCTGTTTTATGTAAAATTTATATGTAACGAGTTTCCTGTAAATAAAATGGTCAGAAAGTTGTTGAACCAATACATGCATATATACTAAACGAGGTCCTGTATGCACAATTGTTACATTTATTACGAATTCATAACGTGAAATCGACAAAAAAAAAAAAACATTTCCTTCAGTGATTTTTTATCGCAAACTAATTAATTTTCGGTTTTATTGCGGAGGTTTACCGAACTTTGACTTTGATCAACAATCAACACACAATCATGGAGCACGTGGAAAATAAGTGAGTTGATAGAGCGATATTATTATTTTTTTATATTTTCCATGCGTTTTTATTTGTTAATTTAATTTTCCCGTAACAGTTTTTCCTAAATTTGGTGTTTCAAATTGTTCTTTCAAAATTAATTAACACTATTTTCCTTGCAATGCACGTGTTTGTTTACATTCAATCACGGTTCTCCCTCGCACTTGCGTTGTGCTATTATCGAAGTTCTAACGATTAGTCTCGTGGCTTAGGTCACACCATACGGAAAAGCTATCGGCGAATTAGGAACGGAAAGACAATTATGTAATAGCAGTACATTTCTGAAGATTTTGAGTAGATGAAGGGTTCTCTTTTGCTAGAAAGTCAATGTACACTTGTTTTGTAGATAAAACTTAGCCATTCAAGTAGATAAAACATTTTCAACTTTTTTAATATGAAGTTTCATAGGATTTTAACCTTTCTCAAGATGCAAACAAAGTACAAATGTTATAATACATTGAAAGCTGAAGCCTGGATAATCAAGAGAGACATGAGGAATATTAAACAAATACATTTATGTTCACTTTTCAATCTTTTCTGAAAATTGAGATTTACCAAATTTATTATAAACTAAAATAGAAAATAACTGAGTTTTTTTCCAGTTTGAAAAAGATGCCTTCGTGTTGCTTTTTTATTGCCAAAATTACTACTTTCATTTATCTATATTGGTTTAGCTATTATCCCCTTAGAAAAGTAATTCATCCAAATAATGTATAATATAACATGGATATGTCCAGGACATATCAGACGTCGTTTTGGGTGCAACACAAATGATTAACTTAAGTTTTCCGACAAAACAATTTTTCTTGCAAATTGTGTTTATGAAGATATATCAATTGATATTTTGCACATCTCTACTTCAGCGCAGAATGTATATACGTAATGACATTTCAAATGGGATAGGTGAATGAAAATCAGTATGCATGTTGTAGTACTTTCACTTGTACTCTTTTTAAATCAATGACTGTCAGTGATGACCATTATCTTGATATTGTTTTCTTAGTGACATATAACTTGAAAGAAACATTAGAGTAAATTTTATAAAATGACTATATAATAGATATACATGATAAAACCGAAGTGGGGACTAACTACAGAATAAAAACGGATACATTACATAAAACAACTTAATCCAACATATAAAAATACACAGCCGAGTTAGCCAAAGCATCAACGCACAAAGTGACGTCACATTTGAAATTCTAAAAAAACACACAAAGTGATGTCACATTTGAATTTGTAAAAATATTTCCCAAAAATAAGATAGGATTAGGATTGATTCAAGATTAGATTTGTAATACTGACATTACATTTATTAATAACAATGAAAATTACAAAACTTATTAATATCAAATTGTGGTAGTAATTAGATAATTAATTGTATTATCTAGCTATGTCGGTGTTTCTTCTGAATCAAACAGTAAACCAAATATATCGTATAAATTTCGTTCAACCAAATTAAAATCTAATAAATGAAGGGGGTGATTAATTATCTGTACCATAACACACGAATATAACAGAAAAGACGTTAAGACATTTGACAAAATCCGACAGGAATAACAAATATAACATCGAAATTAAATACATGAATTTGGGATAGAAAGGTACCGTGACACGTCTTATAGCAATGCGGTTTCACACTCAGCAAAACAGTCACAATCGGGAATAAGTCACGTTCGGTAATTAAAAGATCAGACGACGTAATGACAAACCACAATCTAACACGTGGTAAAAATGTCCTTAGTTAGTTTGGACAAAGACACAACGTATGGACTAACCAATTCGTGATGGTGTCCGTAAAATTTACGGAGTGTCATTTTTAATCTGTCCTCCTCATAACTTTGTTGGAGCAGTTTCTGTGTAAGGAGCACACTCCTGTATATGAAGTCCATATAGTGTGAACAAGCACGAGAATAACGCATCAATTGAGATATGTAAACACCATACGAAGGGGCAGAGGGTATGTTACTGCTGAGAAATGGGAAATTGATAATTGGGAAGTTGAAATCGTCCCGTTTATCATAGATTTTCGTGTGAAGTCGTCCATTTGTGTCAATATTGAGGAAAAGATCAAGGTATGAAGCAGTCCTTCTAGTATCAGTAGTATCCTCAATTTCAAGTTCACTGGGATATATGAGATGTAAAATGTTTGCAACCAATTACTGTGTTGTGACATCATGGCGTAGGCATAGCGAGATATACAACTCATTATGTTATCATCTGTTGCTCGTGGTTTTTCTCTTTTCTTTTGCAGTTTTTAATGCAAATAGTGTGATGATATAATATTGCGAATACCATAACTGATAACTTATTTAAACTTTATTTCAATAATCTCAAAAGAAGTGAACAATATGACCCAATGCATATCACATTTTAATACTTCTCATAAGTGAATCATAACAAAAGAAATTTCAAAAGAATAAGAATGAAAAGAAAATGCAGGAAAGTAAATGAATGATACACTGTTGAGATATACAATAGAAACAGTATTTGTTTGAATAAATATTTTTTTGGGGAAATATAAACCGCGAGATTACCGTACGATAGACGAATCACCAATTCTCTGTAAAACATTTATATATAAATAAGAAGACGTGGTATGAGTGCCAATGAGACAACTCTCCATCTCATAGCATGAATTACAATAATGAAAAAAGACCTTTTTGTCCACTATCAGGGCTTTGCGTCATGTAATATAACCCTTAAATAAAACATTCATATGATTTGTAAAGTTAAAGGTATCACAGAATAAATTCTCTTGTTTTACTATTATTTTAGTGGGATTTTTCTAAATGGGTAAGTTGGTCCCTC